ATCACTTCCCCAAATAACATGATGGATTTTAGATTAATGTCAAACGAAATGGAATCAAAGTTAACTTTAACATGTAGAACGTACAAATGATTATCAAGAAGTATAAATTACAAAAATTACATTAAAGTGCTTTAATACATATATATGAAATGAATAACATATCATTATTTTTGCAAAAGCAGAAAATACAAACATTTATAATACTACAATTTGTGCTTAATTAGGTATTCTTTTTGTTATTATGAGTTATTTATTTGTTATTTTTATAATGTAACATTAAATATAACATATTTTTTCATTTTTATTTATTTTTTAAACAGTTTAAGGATTTTTAGTACAACGATAATGAGTATATACTAGTAATGACTTGACTTGAATTTCGATTTCAAATTAAGTCGTGTTTGCCATACGATAATACGGTTGATCCGAATTAATCTGTTTTGCCAACCCTAGGTGCAACGTGCACGTCCTCTGCATGCCACTCTCCGTTACTAACGTCGTATATTTCCGTCAGTGCGTACACAACTCTGTCTTATTATCCACTCCGAAACTGCCTAAAACTCGGTGCATACTAGTAAATCATTTAAAACGAAAAACCTAATTAAAATCCATTCTACGTCTCGCAATCAAGACGGCCTTCGGAGACTTAAATTTTTTGCCCGCATTGAAATTGGCGTGCCGTTAATTAAAACAAAATCGAATTAATTACAGGGCTCGAATTATTCCACCCCTTTCTTGACAAAAAATGATTAAGATCCGTCAGCGAGGGGCGAGTGGACACGTATTTCGCAGTAATATATCTGTATTATTATCTGGCGGCGAGAGAAGTAGCGCATGCCATAAACTAATATTCGCTCGGACACTACTTGGAGTTATTGGACAATGTAAATGAACGCTATCTCCTATAATGCCTGCCTTATTTCCCCCTAGCCAGGCCAGTGCCCGAAGCGACCCCGCCGGGTGGGAGGCACCCCCACCCGAACGATGTCTCATCAGTAAGGATTGAACCCTTTAATGTATTCACCGTAACTTCGGGATGAGTCTTGTATTAGTGTTATAATGAGACGCGGCCCTTAGGAATTATGGCTATACTTACGGATCTCCGGGTCGGGATTACCCCCAACCTAGTTTCAATTTCTATATGTGAGGCTTCATTAGTTGAGGCCGATATTATTACGTTATCCATATTATATTATGCCAATATTTGAATAGCTAATCCCCGCTTCATTATCGAATTTTGCACTAAGTTTTAATGTCGAATTTACGAGATCCGCCCGCGAAACGAAACGAACGGTGGAAAGGTTCCGAGAAGTTCGTAATCGTCAAAACAAAGCTCAATTTAAAGGGATAGCGTCGGTGTAATTTCAATTATAAAATAGGCGAGTGATTAAATTAAAAAAGCCATCCAGTTCGCTTCTTGAGTCGCCAACAGATCGATAATGCTACCAATTAGTCGGCACCAATTTTCCAATAAAACTTCAAACTGTTTTCCATTCCATTATCTCTCACCACCCTTTATTGCTGGCAAAGTTAAGCTACGACTCCTCGTTCCACTTCGCTCGGAAATTATTACAATAATAATATTATTATATTAATAATTGTATTGATAAGGAGACTCTCGTAATAAGGGTAAACCGTCCCATTTCTGCCAGCCATCCTCAATAGGAGAATTTATGTAACTAATGAAATAAGCGAAGTGCCGCTCCCCGCAGCCAACCCTCTCCCGCCACCCTTCATTATCGGAAAGTTTGAAATATAATTTGAAATTATGCTCAATGTTATATTGAAGATAAGAGAAACACAAATTCCTTTAATTGGACTTGTTAAAGTGACTCAAATTAAGTTAACACCGAGTTGATGGTATTACTTTTGAAGTTCGAAATTATGACGGACTGTCCGTGGGTTCTGCGGCATTTGTCTGCCTCAAATCGCGATTAATGAAAACCAATCGTGTGCCGTTCCGTTCTCCTCATTTCACTGTATGAAGATACTAATATATGCACAAATTAGTAACAATAAACTAAGGATACTTAAGTCCCGACGTATATATAATATGAATATAATAAACGCCAATAAAGTGTAAAAGGTATACTTTTTTATTAAATTAATTACCAGACATTACATCATATATTTGACAAGGTATAATTTTTGAAGTCCCAGCAATATTATCGCTTGAATGGAATAGGTCAGCTATTGATTTAGCAATGCGCCCAGTTGAGCTCTCATCTAGGGGCAAGCAACTTGAGACTATCACAATTAGGCGTCGGCCTCAATCTAATTATATTTCTGATTGGCCTGGTGTCGACGCTCTGCACTCCTGTGTAGATTGTTCTCATTATTTTCTATTAGCTAATATCAATTATCGAGATTATATTCGTAGCCTATACACTGTACCGAATACGAACTTGAAATCGAAGATTTTCAATAATGTTCCAAATTTGAAATCTGGCCTTCAGTGTTTTTAAAATATACATTCCATAGATTATATGTTTTAAATGCACGCCTTCACGAATACGTCACGCAGGCGTAAGTAGAAAAAATAGTCGTTCTCTAAATGTCTTTCAAACGTTTGCCAATATACGAATTGAAGATGTTTTGTTGCACGTGCGTAAAAATACGTTTTTTAAATAACGTAGCCTCTTTTGCATAGTAAAAGTTCTAGTATACGTACCTACGTATCCATCTCAAGCATTAAACATTTAACGGAAAACTAAAAGCGAACTTGCAACTTTTAATTGCATTAACAGATTTGCCTTGGCGTCTCAACAAAACGGCATTGGCTCAAGTGAAACAAATTACTTTCACAATTAGATGCAGATCGAGATCTAATTATTCGGATTCGAGTCTGGCGCAGCACTATTCTGATTGTCGACAAGCGATTTCGGAAATTACTAAGGCGTCGACGCCGCCCGCTCATTCCACCCCGTTCCTTGCGTTTCGGTTAGACGGTCAATCACTAGGTTCCCCGGACCTATACATTTTAATGGCGATACGATACGCTTTGACGTTTTTGAGGTTGAATCGAAGATGGTGTTTCGGGTTTAATTGTTCCGGCTACACTCGTTCTCGTAAATCATTGAGTACGTTAAGGAAATGGAAAATTATTTACGATACGGGCGGAGCTTGAACCGGCATCCACAGCGTTCTTCGCTCTCACCAATGTGTCTCACACAACAATTTTTAATTTATATAATGCCATCACTTTTACATTCATATTTATATACCTATCTTTTTTAGTCCGTACGTATAACCTTGTGTTAATAATTTGAGATTTCTTCATTTGCCATATAGGGCAGATATATTTCACTTTTTTTCAGTCATATTTTTTTTTACTGGCGAGAAGTTGGTCATAATTTGGTGCACAGTCCATCAGATAATATTACGTTTTCCTGGGGTTTTATTTGTGTATCCCTTTTAACCACTGCCTTTTGAGTATGTATAATTAACTAAGTAATTTTAACTTTCTTATTATAGATCTGGGTATCTAATATTTTAAAAATGTAATTATAACATTTATTTTGCTAAATGTTGATTCTTTTGATTTGTTTTATGTAAATTGTGACCAATGAAATTAATGTAGATATTTGAGTAAATATACACTTTTAACAATGCAGAGCTTTTGTCAATCGAACCAGCACAATTGTAAAATAAGGGTAGTAAACACACAGCGTTTTAAACTACAAAAAATACTTCTTAAAATAAAACCTTTTTGTAGCGTTTGTTTATCATTGCCGGGCGTATAAAGGAAAAATTTTTAACAAAACTATTAAATCATTTTCCGATAGTAAATAAAAAACTATGTTTAATTTAGAAAATTTCCGAGTAAAAAAAAATGTTTAAAAATGTTTTAAAAAATTTTTTATTTTTATGTATAAATAAACTGTTCTATTTCACTTATTTACTTGCCAATGAATTATTTATAAACTGTTTATTTTTTACGCAATATTAAAAACGATTTTATTTAGAATACCCAACGAAACGTACACTGCAATAAGATGAAACAATAGTTACGTTCAAACATGCACTGTCCCCGAAAACAATTTTTGTCATCAAAGATCTGAATACGGAGGAGCGTGTACGAATCGGATAATCGGGCCATGTTAGCCGCAACGTTTCCTTCTCCCCTCCCCAAGACCACCCCCCACTGTACATCATCTCATTTGAATTTCTAACTAGGAAACCTCCATGCAATTATTGGATTAATGTAAATTACGCAGTCTACAGCGCCACGGTGCACTATCAGGGACAAGGTTTAATTAGAATCCGGTTAAGTCCATAATAACGGTTAATGTATGCGAAAAAATAAGGAAATAAGAAAACTAGAGTCACGTTATACGGTTACTATACTTATAATTAGCTAATTCTATATACTTATAACAAGCCCTTACGTTTATAACTTCAGTCTTTTTTATACAATAACCTAAAAATAAATGTAACTATCGGAAAGGAATGATTTTCTTCGCATAGTTGTTAAAAGTATGTTTCACATAGTTAAAGGTAGTAATAATTATTTAAAAATCGGACAGCAAAGATTAATTCTACGGTCTTTTATAATATTGATAAGTATGGCATAAAATGCTTAGTGGAATTCCGATTTCTTGAGTTCCGTTACGTATGTGGTTGGGAGATTTTAGTGCCCGACTTCCTAAGCGATTATTTCTACTTATTTCTGGGTTGACCGAATATAACGTTTCCCCGTGATCGGAACCCGGGATTCTCTCGTGTTTGTTGAAATTAGACAATGCGATAATTAATTGTTTTGCAAGTGCCTTTGATAACAACAAAAAAAGTATACCTTGTTAACAGTTAAAAGTGAATATCCTCATAGATTTAATATGTAAGTATTGTGACAGATTGTTACGTAGCAAAGAAGTAACACGTAAAACTATATGTCTATCAGTTCGGACTATAGACGAATAAGTGAAACTGATCTTGTAAAAGAAAACGCCGAGCCTTAAACACGTGTGAGGCTAGGTGTGAATGGCCCGAAGCAATCACTGCTAGCCCAGTAAGAGGGAACTCCTAAACAAAGTTGAGGCACGCCAAAACGACGAGCAAAACCTCGCAATATCCCGCCGTGACCTCGAAACCGTACGTAGGTGAAAGCCCTCGGGTACATGAGGGGAGCAAAAAATCTCTAACCCCCGTAAGGAGCGGGGGGACGCCCGCCCATGAATGAGCGAAGGAGGCGCGCGTCCTTGGAGCAAAAAAGTCACGTGACCCCGCGCAACAGGTGCCACCGTGGGCATGTCCTTGCCAGGAGACCCGCAACTAAACATTCTATTTTCGAAATATCTGTTGTTCTTAAGTAACATCAAGGGGTCAGGAGACAGGGGGGGGCTATGTTGACGTAATATTATGTGTGACTTGGTGACAGAACACAGTCGACGTAGTTACTTCACTGAGTTAATAAAAAGCCTTCTTGATTCGAAATTCAAATTAATATGTGATTCGATTCACAATTGATGGGTACTCTAGGTAGGTTAAGAGATATATAGATATCACGTATCACGTCTATACAAGATTTACAATCTTTAAACCGTGTACTTTATGAATGGCGCTTCTCCCTCGGCCCCGCTTAACACAAATGTCACGATGCGACGCCCCGAGCCGGAAAACTCTCTTTTCTTCCTGAATTGACGACGCCGCAACCCGGGCGAAACTAGACTCTAAAATCACTTTAAGAGAGCCGATATTCGCCCGACGAAAATTGGAGAATTTAAAGAATTTTCTGCGCAACTCCGTCACTTCATTCTAAAACGTATTAAAGCGGTCTAAGTATGTTTTTTGCTCGCATTCAATTTGTCGGCACGAAATCTTCCAGTCTCCTGCGGCAAATTGTTTCCTCACGCGGCGTGTTTGTATTTTATTATACATTTTTATTCCTCGATAACATTAGCTTAACCGACTTTTCATTGCCGCCGCTAGGGTTGCCGCTTGTAAAATTTATGGAGTTACTTTATTACTTTCGTCAACTAGTTTAGGTATCGCTAATTTGATAACGGGAACTTATGATTGTTCTTTATGGCTGTTATTAGCTTTTATGCGTTCTTTAACTTCGGTTAATAGATGAAGGTTTATGAGTTAAGTGGAATACTATCGGTGAAAATATTATGTTTTACATTCGCTATTAAATCCATGTGTTTAATATTACTTTAAAAAATCAACATCCTACAATATTTCTCAGTACCATTGCAAGTATTTTTATATTATATATATGAGGGAGAAATCACCTAAGTTTCCCCTATCGTGTAATGTCATAGTGAGTAGTTAATTATCTAGAATCATAAGTAGATCTTTAAAAAAAATTATACATACAGGTATTGATTTCACCTCTATTTAAATATTAAACTAAATATTTAAAATAACTTCAATGTAATAATCGTAGCAGTATTTTTAATTTTGACAACCCTTGTCATAATTATTGTCACTGGTGGCGCGTCAAACATAGCCCGCCATGACTCGCGACACCTCACTTGGTAAAACATAATATCCACTTTGTAAAGTGATAACTTACTGTACAGTTTTTTAATGCTTGTAGAGCGACTCGTAATTAGAAATATATTCATATTAAGCTTACTATATTGATGACAAATGTAAAAAAATCTTCATCATAATGTTCCAATCCTACGTATATTAGACACTTGTCCATTTTTTGCATCGATTTTGTTTACTGTACTTTTTACTATTAAAATTAAATAGTTATTTTGTTTGTCGTTATTTTTAGTATTATACAATTAAGGGAAAGTGTTAGGCACTTTGAAGTAGGTGACCATAAAAAGACGACGTCTTTAAAATATTAATATTAAATACTAATCTTGCCTTTATATAAAGATGGATGTTAAGATATTTGATTTTAACAAGTTTTTTAGACGTCGTAGAGTACTGAAAACGGTACGGTGCCGTACAAAAAGTTAAACAAATAAAACAAAAGGACATGATTTTTTTTTCTAATTATGTACTTTGAATAAAAAATAATTGTTTGTTTGAGAAGTGTGATAGTAGCAGATGGAACTATTCATACTTTTGAGTCGTGATAGATTTAAACTATGCTTAACGCACGAGGGAGCCAATTAGTTTACAGCAACAAAGAAAACAATGCTAAACGTTTGAAAAATATACTTCCAAAGTGGAGCATTAAGCCAAATCGCGATAGCCCAGCGTCCTCCACGGAATGTAAAGCTCTTGAAGCTTATCTTTTTACCTTCTCGCGTTAGACACTTCTTGTGCTTTTTGTACGCTTTGTACTTACACCGCAACTGCTCTGCGGTCCCCTTTCATTCGGGATAATTTCGGCTTCACTTTTTACAGCGATTCTTTTAAATGGCTGCAATTTTTAGACGTCCTCGATTCTGTGAAAGTGGATTTTATGAAGTGGAAATTAGTGGACTCTCAATTTGGGTTATGCTATTTGAAAGCATGTTGGCATAATATGTTATGGATCAAATGTCATTTGTAGACTCAAGATTTCAATTGTACTATACAAAAAAATCTAGCTGAATGCTAATATTCACTAAGATGCTACTGTAGCTTACACGGGTAGAACACATATAAATAAACGTTTGTAAAATGCGAAAATTTTAGTTAAGACTTGTTTTAGAATGAGTAGGGGAACCTCCCTACCACGGGCTGCAAACATCGGAAACGTTGGGCCGTGTTTTAAAAAATCGCAAACAAGTTTTAACTAAATATATCGCGTTTTAAACCGTTAAAGTGTTTTATTTACTTATTTTTGCCCTTTTGAGTAAAAAAATGGCTTTAGACATATTTTTGAATAGTAAGTGTCTATCTTTTATAAAAGAGGGGACCGCTTTAAACGAAGTTTGAAAAAAATATTTGTTTAAAACTTACGCGTAAAATTCACAATTTATAGCCTACAATGTTCTAAGATGCGCAATTCTAAGTGGCCGACATTTTTTATTTAATATGACAGAAAAGCAACAATCCGTACTTGGTAAAATTGAAATGATCTACAAGTTGTCGACCCATTGTGCGTTTAAAATGTAATGTGAGTTAAGTACAATGAAGCTTGTGATGCATTAAATGCACAAATGCCTCATCCATTCATTTTACCTGCGGGTCAGACGACAAAGATCGCCATACGTACAGGGTACGAATTAGGAGCGGCCTCACTATAACAACAGGGGGTGACCCGGGGGGAACTATCGATTTTGGATGAGAAACTGGACTGGAGACATGCAAGGCTTAATATCAATTCGAGATAACCTTTATGTAGCGATCGAAGATTTGAGTTCAAATTTATAATGAAAATACATTGCGAGTTTATGTGTTAAGGAAACATAATCTTAATAAGAATTATAATAATTTAAATACATATATTCATGATACGTTGCATAAGATTGAAATAAAAAAAAACGATATTGTTTACCTACACATTTTAAATAAAAAGAAATATGTGATATTAACTAACTAATTATATTTTTAATATGAAAAACCACATTGGCAGTTTTTAATAAATAAATTTTAAAGGTTCAAAATGGGATATGTATGCGCTATCGTAGCAGTTTTCTACTTCGACATTAAGGTCACCCTCATTTTCAGTCTCAACATAACCACGGCTGCTGTGAAACGTCGAATTCGTTATTTAACAATAACCTTTAAAACTGTTAAATTAGTTTTACTAATGTAAACGCGTGTTGAATAAATAAAACACTTTTAACGGAAAACTACAAACAATATTGCCATTAGCGAGACTCGAACCCACAAGCATCAGGATTAGGTGCTGTCGCTCTACTATATAAACTACGGAGTTAGTAGTGTCAATAACGTGATTAAAGTTATGCAAGAGCACTGAGTCGCGTTCTTTTAAAAAAAGTTACCAAATTAAGCTGCCAAAGAATCAGGTTAACACAACACGTCGACTTAAGTTTTTCATAGAACGGTAAATACATTAGTTTAAAATCAATGTTCAGTGGATTAAAATTTAATTTTTGTAAGGCGGAATCTTGATTTGTTGAAACTTGTATTTTTAACATAATGTAAGTAATTTTCCCTCCATTTTGTATTCGTTCTTTTATAACACCTAAATAGCACACTTAAACATATTATAATTAAATTATTTTAAACTACATCAGTGCTAACACAGCTTCTACTAATCAATTAACTTTTTGGATATATTCAAAAAAATTAATATTTAGACTTAAACTGGAAATACTAGACATTTAAAAACTAAATGTCTTAAGTCTGGTTCCAGCTCTGCTCTCTTCTAGGATATTAAACTTCGACGCACCACGTCATTACTACTACACACTTAAATACTGTCTATAGATTACGCGAGTAGTACACATTTAAATAAAACACTTTAACGGTTTAAAAAGCCATATTAATTAGTTAAACCTATTTGAAAATTATTTTAACTTAGGCCCGACGTTTCGGATACTTTGCAGCCGCTGACCAATATATATCGTGTTTTATACCGTTAAAGTGTTTTATTTAAAAACACTACCACTTGAATCATGCATCCATATGTTACCAACATTGTGAACATATTTAATTATTTTTGAATATTATTTTTTATTTAAAAAATTGAATCTCCATTATTCAAACGCGGTTCAAATAACCTTAGTCGGTTAGTGTTTCAATCGACCTCAAAAACTTATTACAATCCACCCTAGCTCATTATCTCTGGCCATAGTTAGAATCGATACTACACACACACACAAACTATTTCACACCCACAAGCGAATCTAAAAGTCTACGCTTACTCGTAAGCGGCGCGTCAACTTAAAACTTAATTATAATTAATTAATTCCAATTGGTAGCCATCTCGCTCGCACACACCGCGTCTTGGATATAAATCTCTCTTTCTAACATAGCGGCAAGGGTTGTATTGTGTTTTCGAAGACCTTTTATCGCGGAGGCATTTCACGAAGTGGAGCGTTCGCCGGTTCGATTCCTTTCGAATTTTATTAGCACTTAGATTTTAATTGGAGTTGTATTGAGTGGGCTTTTTCCGGTATAAATTATGTATATCTATAGTCACGTTTCGATTGTTTCCCTTAAAAATGTCGGAGGTGTTGGCGTCATTGATTCCTTCGTTTTGCCATGTCGAGCGATGCATAAAATTGTACGGAGATTAGTCGTGTGTTTTTAGTCAGAAAATCACAACTGCGTTTATCGGGTTTACTTTGCTTTGCGATTAATTAGTAAGTACTTATTGCAAAATAATTAAAACCATCCTTTAAGATGTATATTTTACGCATTTAAAAGTTCTAGGTTCTCATCCCGGTAGTACACCAATAGTTTTGATTTAGGAGGG